CGGCGCTGCGGGACCAACCCAGCAGCACCCCAGCTGCTCTGCCCCAGGCGTGTCCGATTCAGCCACTGGCGGTCAGTTTCAGCAGCGGCTGAATCTGGACGCCAGTTCCGACTTACATACAGATTCAACTTAAGAACAAACCTACAGTCCCTATCTTGTACGTAACCCGGGGACTGCCTGTACTATGGAACTTCTTTTGCAGGAGCACAAGATTAATGCTAGGGATGTAAAAGGTTAACCGGTTAACCAGTTACTCAGTGGCTACGTCTACACTGGCATGATTTTGCGCAAATACTTTTAACGCAAGAATTTTTGCGTTCAAAGTATTTGCGCAAGAGAGCGTCTACACTGGCATGTGCCTTTGCGTAAGAGATGGGCTTTTGCGCAAAAGCATCCGTGCCAGTGTAGACGCTCTCTTGTGCAGGAAAGCGCCAATGGCCATTTTAGCCATCGGGCTTTCTTGCACAAGAAATTAACGTTGCCTGTCTACACTGGTCTCATGCGCAAGAACAGTTGCACAAGAGGGCTTATCCCTGAGCAGGAGCGTCAGAGTATTTGCGCAAGAAGCCCTGATTTTATACATTAGAACGTCAGTGTTCTTGCGAAAGTACTCGCGGCCAGTGTAGACAGGTGGCAAGATTTTGCACAAAATCTTGCCAATGTAGCCACAGCCAGTAAGCATTAGCCTTACCAGTATGCTTACTGGGTAACCAGTTAACCGGAGGGCTTGGCCCGTGGGAGCAGGCCCTCTGCCCACGGCAGCTGGGCTGGCAGGACCCCAGCAGTAGCAGTGGAACTTGAGCAGTCTCGGTGCAGCTGGGTTGCGGCTAGAGCAGCTCCTGCCGCCCACAGCCACTATGTGGCTGGAACAGCCCCCCAACCCACAGCCAGTAGTTAACTGGCTAAACAAATCATTTAACCAGTTAACTATTTTAGGCAGCTTTTACATCCCAAATTAATGGACTCTTCAGGAGGCAAGAGGAAGTCCAACAATCTTTTTTAAGAATGTGTGTGAAGTGGATTTCCTGGGAAGTACCTCAAAGCAAGGGGAATGCAAATTCTCCCCTCCAAAAAACAACTCTTTGAAGATACGCCTTGGGGAGAGAGACCAACTGTATGCTGAGTTGCCTGATCAGGAGTTTCCAGAAGCCAAGCCCCCTGATCTGGACTAAACTTGTTATGAGTTTGCTTGTTCTGAGCTGAAGCTATGATGAACAGGCTGACCGACATAAACCATCTAATAACCCATGACAGCAAGTCTGTGCTCCCACTGTACTTCAGATATATTGTGTTTAAGTCATTCAGAATTGCACTATAAATTGAAGACTGATGCAGCCTTTGTTTATTGAGGGCCCCCTCGTCTTTTGAATATTGGAGTCAAGTTTGTAAGGAAAATGGTAGTAGCTGGAGTGAGCAATATCACATTTGGGTTATGTTAAGTCACAGTGACAAAAGCCTCTCTCACCAGGCTCTTCCCCATTGGCCTTGAGAGGTCCCAGAACCATTTGGGATGCTCTTATGTTTCCTTTCTTCAGAAGATTTTCCTTCAGGAAAGGCTGCCATTGGATCCTACATGAAAGAGGATTACATTGTGTTATACCATCTGGTCCCTCCAGCAGTTAGTTCTATATTATCCTTTATAAATGAGATTTCTAATCATTTTGATTTGTATCAAGCATCTGGGCTTTGATTAAAAACAAACAAACAAAAAACCCTTGAATTTTCCTACATATAAGATTGCAATGTAAGATATTAATGCCTACAGGCTCTGTGAAACTTACTGCCCAAGCTAACATTTTTATTAACACTGTACAATACCTGGAAACATTGTTAAAGATTACCCACAAAGGAGAAAAAAAAATGGAATTATACCGTAACCTCCTTCCCTGTCTAATACACATTTTTTTAAAAAAGAACACCATGCAAAGATTGCCTGAAAGAGTTCTACCTTCGTCCACCTTCCCAACTAAAAGGTATAATTCTGCTTGGCTTTCTTTACTCCAATTTCCTTCCAAGGCAAGTCTAGATGTTTGGAATCTGCTCGATTACCGTACAGACAGGAATTCACTGGTGGTGACTAATGCCCACAAAAGCTCATGGTACCATCTACGTGTTTTGTTAGTCTATAAAGTGCTACCAGACCATTTGTTGTTTTTTAAGTTTATCCTGTACAGACTGACTCGGCCACCCCCTGAAGCTATGACAATGACAATAAGGTTTATTTAAAATATTCCCCAAAGCAAGAATTTTTCCCTCCATCAAAACAAAGACCAACATATTTGACAAGAGGAATTATTTCTGGTTAGAAGGTGAAGTGATCTTAAACAGCATCTGCAGGACCATAGGGATGCTATACTTCTTGTGCAATCAAAGCATAGGGTAATTTTTTTCTTCTCTGCCCCATAAATTTGACCATCCTGTCTGAGGCCCTGCTCCCTGTCCACGCAATTCCTTCCCTCAAGCCCAGGCTGGCTGATGCGGAGGTGCAGAGGGAGGGGAAAGGGGGCAGTTGCTAAGGGGCCTGATGATTTCAAGGGGCCAGGGGCTCTGGTTGGCAGCGACAGCATCGATTTGCTGTTGGTGCACAGTGCTGCTCGCTCTGCAGCGCCACACGCTCCTCTGAGAGCTTCAGGGGAGAGGAGACAGTGCTGAGGACTGGCTGCATCTAGCCTGCCCCTTCACAGGGCATGATGCTGGTCCCCTCTCACACTTTGTAATAGGACCCACGGTCAGAAGATCTCCCACAGACAGCCTCTGTCTGTGACAAGCCTGGGCCTGCCACGGACAGAGGCTGGTCCGTGGCAGCAGCCCCTGTCCGCGGTGGTAGCTCAGGTGCCCTGTGGTGCAAGACTGCTGCCCTCCCACACTGCTGCCTCTGTATCCGAGGCAGCAGCGCAGGGTGGCAGGCAGCCAACCTGAGTGAGGAGGTGGTTTTTAAACCAGCTTCCCTGGTTGATCTGCTCCTGCGTGCCACCCTGTGCTGCTGCTTCTGATACTGAGGCAGCAGCGCAGGGGCACACCAGCCCTGCACCATGGGACACCCAAGCTCCCCATGCACAGAGGAGCGCACTGGCTGCCGGCTCTGCCCCCACAATATCTAATATCCCTAGCTTACATCCCTGCCCATTGGGCCAGTTCCCAGTGCAGAGAGGCACAGGGAGCAGCCAGCTGCTTTGAGTAGCCTGGGGATGTGGCAGACAAGGACCCTGCCTGAGGGGCCCACTGGGCTGCCAGCCAAGAGCCACCTACATAAGCACCTCCTAACCAAAGCTTGTGTCTGGCACCCCATCCCCTCCTGCACCCCACCTCCCTGCCCCAGGCCACCATCTAAACACTCTGCACTTTCTCTTCCCCACTTCTGTAGGTCACAACTCCCTCCTCCTACATCCCTCCCCCTGGTCAAAATCCTATCCTGTTCCCATGCTCTCTCCTGGACCCTGCTTTGCAGTCCCCTACCCCAGGTCACACCCCTACACCATCCAAACCCTCTCTCAGACACCACATCCTCTACTGCATCTCAATGCCCTACCCCAAGCTCTCTTCTGCACCCAATTTCTGTCCCAGACCTCACACCTATTCCACATAAAAGTGTGGCCCTTGACCATTTACCAAAACCTTGGTGTGGCCCTCTTATAAAAAATTATTGCCCACCTCTGATCTAGGTGCTTCCTGAAACTTTTTATCTAAATTTCAGTGGGTCTTTAGCAAAGTTCCCTCTAGGGTGCGAGCGTGTGCAGCCCTGCACAAACAATTCTAAATCTGTCCACCTCCTTTGCAGAGTTGTGCAGCAGCACTCACCTTCCTGCTGGACCTGGAAGTTGAGTGGCATGGTTGTTCTGGCAGCCGGGGCTGCGTGGAAGATGGCTGCTCTGGTGGCTGGGGTTGGTGCTAGGGCTAGCCATGTGCAACTGCTCCAATAGCTGGGGCTGAGCCCACATTGAGGGGCAGCTGCTCTGGGGGCCAGGACTGCACTGTTGAGCGGAGTAATGTGCCGGCAAGATCATGCTAATGAAGGGCAGGACATTTAAATCCCCACTTCATTAGCAATTTTGGTTGCCTACATTTGCATCCCTAGTTCAAACTAGGGATGCAAGTGTAGACGTACCCACAAAGACAGTAGTGTAAAACTTTTAATTCATTTTAAATAATGACCATTAATGTGGTTTTCACTGTGTTTCTGGATTTGCTACAGGCCTATCTCATCATTATGAAAGACATCACACCACTGAATTGCAACCACCTCTGTTGTGGCTGGAATTATTCAACAACTGGCAAACAACATGCTGCAAACTGAGGAAGGTAGAGAAATTCTGATAAAGGACATTTGTATTATGTGTGACTGGATCTATAATTCACAAAAATAAGGCAGAATCTTGGTTATTTATTGATTTTCTTTTTTAACAAACTAGAACTCAAATCAGCTCTCCTGTTGGATACTGTAAACTTTTGCACATAGAAAGAAAAGAGCAGCTGTTCGCAAGAGACTCATTCAGTAAAGATTAGAGGATTCTGGATGATTAACTAAAAACCATTATAAATAACAACGCCACCCTAGTTACTAATCTCATATGTAATAAACAGACAAGTTTTTTTTACCATGTCATACAATATCCTCCCTCAAAAAATAACCCACATGAAGCTTGCCTATTTATTACACAATAGTTTAATACTCTGGTTATTTTTTACTATATCTTGCTAAATGCTATTTTCTCATCCCTCTGAAGAACAAGTATTATGTTTGGAGACATATTGAACAACAAAAACCATTCATTGCATGTGCCGATAAGTCTTTAACTGACCAAGAATCAACTAGTTCCTGGAAGTATGAAACTTGTTTTACACAGTAGCTTGTGTGTGTATATACAAGCTATATTGTGTGTGTATATACAAGTCATACTGGGACTAAAGCCTACAGTTTTATCAAGTTTATTCTATCCATCATCACTATGAACCTGTTGTAATACGTTTTCTAAATTATATGCACATGTTTTTGTTCAAGACAGGATTTATACAACTCATTTTCAGATTTACTCATTGACTCTGATCTATTTCAAATACATATTTCTATTCTAATTAGAACCCCGATTATAATATAAATTACTCCTTATCACTTCTTTGCATAAAACAGAAGTTGTATAAATATATGTTCTCTCAGTTTCCCTTTAGAAGTCTAAGATCAGAGAGCACATCTTTCCCAACACTAGCTGTTTGAGAGGTCTCTTCTTCCCTTTCTGTAGTGCTCAAATTGCTTTCTCTAACTTTGCAAACAAATGTTGATTCTTTAAAAAGCAATAATTCTCTATCAGAATTAGAAGATGCTGTTAAAAGGCAAAGCAGAGAAAAGCAGCAGCAAAAACAGCTTCACAATATGGAGCAGACTACCATCAAATCAAAAATAAACTGCACTGCAAAATGATCATGTTATACAAGCTCAGAGCTACCCCCATTTCCAGCACAGGTCAGAAAACAGCTGCGTGGAAGATGGCTGCTCTGGTGGCTGGGGTTGGTGCTAGGGCTAGCCATGTGCAACTGCTCCAATAGCTGGGGCTGAGCCCACATTGAGGGGCAGCTGCTCTGGGGGCCAGGACTGCACTGTTGAGCGGAGTAATGTGCCGGCAAGATCATGCTAATGAAGGGCAGGACATTTAAATCCCCACTTCATTAGCAATTTTGGTTGCCTACATTTGCATCCCTAGTTCAAACTAGGGATGCAAGTGTAGACGTACCCACAAAGACAGTAGTGTAAAACTTTTAATTCATTTTAAATAATGACCATTAATGTGGTTTTCACTGTGTTTCTGGATTTGCTACAGGCCTATCTCATCATTATGAAAGACATCACACCACTGAATTGCAACCACCTCTGTTGTGGCTGGAATTATTCAACAACTGGCAAACAACATGCTGCAAACTGAGGAAGGTAGAGAAATTCTGATAAAGGACATTTGTATTATGTGTGACTGGATCTATAATTCACAAAAATAAGGCAGAATCTTGGTTATTTATTGATTTTCTTTTTTAACAAACTAGAACTCAAATCAGCTCTCCTGTTGGATACTGTAAACTTTTGCACATAGAAAGAAAAGAGCAGCTGTTCGCAAGAGACTCATTCAGTAAAGATTAGAGGATTCTGGATGATTAACTAAAAACCATTATAAATAACAACGCCACCCTAGTTACTAATCTCATATGTAATAAACAGACAAGTTTTTTTTACCATGTCATACAATATCCTCCCTCAAAAAATAACCCACATGAAGCTTGCCTATTTATTACACAATAGTTTAATACTCTGGTTATTTTTTACTATATCTTGCTAAATGCTATTTTCTCATCCCTCTGAAGAACAAGTATTATGTTTGGAGACATATTGAACAACAAAAACCATTCATTGCATGTGCCGATAAGTCTTTAACTGACCAAGAATCAACTAGTTCCTGGAAGTATGAAACTTGTTTTACACAGTAGCTTGTGTGTGTATATACAAGCTATATTGTGTGTGTATATACAAGTCATACTGGGACTAAAGCCTACAGTTTTATCAAGTTTATTCTATCCATCATCACTATGAACCTGTTGTAATACGTTTTCTAAATTATATGCACATGTTTTTGTTCAAGACAGGATTTATACAACTCATTTTCAGATTTACTCATTGACTCTGATCTATTTCAAATACATATTTCTATTCTAATTAGAACGCTGCTCTGGGGGCCAGGACTGCACTGTTGAGCGGAGTAATGTGCCGGCAAGATCATGCTAATGAAGGGCAGGACATTTAAATCCCCACTTCATTAGCAATTTTGGTTGCCTACATTTGCATCCCTAGTTCAAACTAGGGATGCAAGTGTAGACGTACCCACAAAGACAGTAGTGTAAAACTTTTAATTCATTTTAAATAATGACCATTAATGTGGTTTTCACTGTGTTTCTGGATTTGCTACAGGCCTATCTCATCATTATGAAAGACATCACACCACTGAATTGCAACCACCTCTGTTGTGGCTGGAATTATTCAACAACTGGCAAACAACATGCTGCAAACTGAGGAAGGTAGAGAAATTCTGATAAAGGACATTTGTATTATGTGTGACTGGATCTATAATTCACAAAAATAAGGCAGAATCTTGGTTATTTATTGATTTTCTTTTTTAACAAACTAGAACTCAAATCAGCTCTCCTGTTGGATACTGTAAACTTTTGCACATAGAAAGAAAAGAGCAGCTGTTCGCAAGAGACTCATTCAGTAAAGATTAGAGGATTCTGGATGATTAACTAAAAACCATTATAAATAACAACGCCACCCTAGTTACTAATCTCATATGTAATAAACAGACAAGTTTTTTTTACCATGTCATACAATATCCTCCCTCAAAAAATAACCCACATGAAGCTTGCCTATTTATTACACAATAGTTTAATACTCTGGTTATTTTTTACTATATCTTGCTAAATGCTATTTTCTCATCCCTCTGAAGAACAAGTATTATGTTTGGAGACATATTGAACAACAAAAACCATTCATTGCATGTGCCGATAAGTCTTTAACTGACCAAGAATCAACTAGTTCCTGGAAGTATGAAACTTGTTTTACACAGTAGCTTGTGTGTGTATATACAAGCTATATTGTGTGTGTATATACAAGTCATACTGGGACTAAAGCCTACAGTTTTATCAAGTTTATTCTATCCATCATCACTATGAACCTGTTGTAATACGTTTTCTAAATTATATGCACATGTTTTTGTTCAAGACAGGATTTATACAACTCATTTTCAGATTTACTCATTGACTCTGATCTATTTCAAATACATATTTCTATTCTAATTAGAACCCCGATTATAATATAAATTACTCCTTATCACTTCTTTGCATAAAACAGAAGTTGTATAAATATATGTTCTCTCAGTTTCCCTTTAGAAGTCTAAGATCAGAGAGCACATCTTTCCCAACACTAGCTGTTTGAGAGGTCTCTTCTTCCCTTTCTGTAGTGCTCAAATTGCTTTCTCTAACTTTGCAAACAAATGTTGATTCTTTAAAAAGCAATAATTCTCTATCAGAATTAGAAGATGCTGTTAAAAGGCAAAGCAGAGAAAAGCAGCAGCAAAAACAGCTTCACAATATGGAGCAGACTACCATCAAATCAAAAATAAACTGCACTGCAAAATGATCATGTTATACAAGCTCAGAGCTACCCCCATTTCCAGCACAGGTCAGAAAACAGGATGTGAAACAGAAGTTGAAAAAAAAAATCACAACAAAAACATCCTTTTTTGGCAGTCAAATCTTAATTTTTGCCTACATTTTCTAACCATATTCTATCCATCATCACTATGAACCTGTTGTAATACGTTTTCTAAATTATATGCACATGTTTTTGTTCAAGACAGGATTTATACAACTCATTTTCAGATTTACTCATTGACTCTGATCTATTTCAAATACATATGTCTATTCTAATTAGAACCCCGATTATAATATAAATTACTCCTTACCACTTCTTTGCATATGATTCCACCCAGCTGAACTCTTACAAGTACCCAAAAAACAGTCTGCTTGAGGCTGGTTAAAGCTCTTGTTAGCCTTTGCCACGCCCTCAGGAGTTACATACTAAACTTACTGTCCAATCACCTGCATGTTCTCTTAAACATCACATGGTGCTACACTGCTGGATTGGTGCAACTGCTTCAAACCACCAGCCAGCTCATGAAATAACCATGACAACCACCACCCTATGAATATTTTATAGAAAAAAAAAAAACTAGACAAAGGTACCCCAGCAATTCATGTAGCTGAGAGCCACTGAACCAAACTGTAAGCCTTGTATCCTCAGCAGTACCCCCAATTTTAGCACCTATCCTAACAGATTAAAATGAACAATGTATCTTTTAATCTGAGCACTCTATGCAGTTGCAATCTTAAGGTTAGCACTCTAAGTAATATTTGTGTCTGTGCCATTTATGACTGCAGCAGAGATCTTTGACTGCAGATTGTAGTGCAAAAGTTTAAGTTAATGATTACAGGAACAATCCATTTATTTTTTTAAGTCATCATACATTGCATATCTATTGTACCTTCCACCTGAGACTCACTGTGATTTACAATAATTAATAAATCCTCAAAGGACACTTAACTATCGATCAAAAAAGTAGCATTAAAATATGTTGGTGTTGTTAATCAGCTGAGTCATATTGGGACTAAAGTCTACAGTTTTATCAAGTGTTAATTAAATTTGGGTACCCAACTAGGGCCCATCATGAATGGGCATTTTGAAAATATTGATTTTCATATATATGAAATTGATAACTAGGGAAGCTGCTATTTTCCATGTTCATTCATGACATTTTGAGCTTTACTGGGTCCCTTACAAACTGCTATGTTCTTTCAGTTTGCAACTTACTTTATTTTATTCAGTTGGATAGCAGATTTGATTTGGAATTATTTAAACAAACCCTCAAAATCCAAAAACTTGTGCAAACTTTGTGGACTAAAAAATCCCACTGCACTAAACCTAGTCTACCTGGCCAGAATTTCCAATGCCTATAACAACTTGGTTGTGTAGCATGGTATGTGCTAGTTGGTTGTTTCCCTCCACCTTAGAACTGGATGCATTTCAGTGATGCTGTTTCAGTGTTGCCACTTTTATAACTGCATGAGATTCTCAGCTTTCATTGAAAACCCTAGTAAGTTTCTAGCCTTCATAGTTGCAGAGAAAAGCCTGAAAATATGACCTAGAGAGCGTTCAGCCTCAGAAAGCAAATATGAAGACTCCTTTCAATTGTTAATTTTAGGAATAACAAATGAGAGGCAGAGTCAATTAGAACCCAGCTCCCTGACTCCCATTATACCTGTAGTGTCCAACATGCTAGCCACACGTGGCTATTTGGCCAGTTGAGTGTGGCTAGTTCACAAAAGCAATAGCCACTATAGTGGCTACTAGGATGTCAGCAAGTAGTTGTCTTATCGGTTAATCTAGTTGACCACATGCAAAGGAATTACACGAGCTGATAAAGTTAATACGTGAATAACGATTATAGCAGAAGGAAAAGTCACACTCAGGATTTTGGCTACATTCTTCAGTAAACTGCTATTGCTTTACTACCTAATAATTAGCAATGTAAAATGGGTGGGACACTTCATCGAGCAGGTTGTGGGATGAGGCAAGGAGTCCAACAGAGTACAATTAAGTTTAATAATGCACAATCCTATTCTATGATCTTCTGAACACCCATATCGACTCCCACAAAATGAGAATTGTGGCTATTCAAGACCAATCAAAGGGCACTCAGTTATTGGACCCTGAAAGAAGAAATGGACCAATCCTGCTCCCAATTAAGTCAAACTAGACTTCTGTCTTTAATTACAATGAGAGCACCTAGTAGTTTCAATCTTTCACCTTTTATGCTTATAAGAAACCCATGGGAAAAGGCAATACGCTGCATTTATTAAGAATACAGTAGTAAAGCAGCTAGCATATTCACCCCCCAGTTGCTGTTAGTTACCAGTTCAAGGTCCAAATCCTTCTGGTGGCCAACCAGATTGATCACAGATAGGGAGGAGCAGGGCTCTATCAATCCGGACCAATGTGCCCAAATCTTAGCAAGATGGACCCTAAAATCTGTGGCAAAGCAGCCCCTTTCTATAGTAGTTTCCCTTCACTGGGATCAGTGAGTATTGCACTGTCATGCTATAATCATACTTGTTTTATTAAATTATTCTCATCTCATAGCTTGTCCCAGTTGATAGGTGCTTGCTTTATCTTTTAGAGTAGTCAATCTGCCCTTCATTCACATCTCAATAGAGATATACAGCAATCTCCTGGTGCCTTTAGTCTGTCCTCTGCTTCTCCCTAGAACATTGGGTTGGGTTATGGCCTTCGCATTTATCTTCTAACACACATTCCTCATTCTACACTCACACAAACAAAGCTTACACAGCTGCTTCTGTAAAAACAGATCTAGTACAAAAAACATTCTTACACTCTCAAAGAAGAAAACAATTCTATTCTTGCTGTAACAGTACTAACAAACACAAACAGCCCACTTAATGCATCTTTATCAAGAGCATTAGTCTGTTCCTTTTGTAAGGAAGAAAGGATGGCAGGTAAGGTACACTGAGGCACAATGCATTGCACAAAGCTACATTTTAGCTACATGGTAGGCTACACACTTTCATTCTATTTGTTAGAAATGTGTATGTTGACGGCCAGTACTAAAGCATGTAGGTGCCTTACAGCTTATATTTTAAATATTTTAAAAAGCTCTGTGACAGAACCCTGTATACACTGAATGACTGGCACAATGACTCAACTCTTAGGTGGATTGGTAGGGCAAGCAAAAGCCTGCTCATTTTGAAAGGGCACCCTAAGAGCATAATTTCATCGATTTTTGAGACAGCGTTTGATAGCATCCACCACCCCTCCCCCTGGAGGATTCTACAAGCATACGGGTTCTCTGAGAAGCTCATTAACATCCTGAAGGACCTGTACGCTGTGTGCGACATGAAGGACAGCAGAGTGACTGGTTTCACAGAAAGACAGGTGTCAGACAGGGCTGTGTAATCTCACCTGTTACCTTCCTTGTGGTCATTGACTGGGTGATGCGCAGAGCCACTGAGGGCAGATCAAGGGGAGTGCTATAGGGACCGACTGCTCGACTTGAGGACTGCGACTTCACAGATGACCTGGTGCTTCTCGCGCACGATCAGCAGGACATCCAAGAAAAGACCGACATTGTTGACCGGACAGCCAGAAGCGCTGGGCTCAGAATTCACCCTGGCAAGTCCAAAGTGATGAAACTTAGGACAACTAACACTGATAAAACCACCGTCATGGGTGAAGAGTCAGAGGAAGTAAATGACTTCAGGTATCTCAGCAGTTACATCTCGGCGGACAGCAACATCGACAAAGAGATCTCCACTAGAATAGCCCTGGCAGCGCAAGCCTTCCAAAAGCTTAACAACATTTGGAAGTCGCCACTGTTAAAGACCAGGACTAAACTGAAGATCTATAGGTCGAATGTGCGCTCAGTCCTGCTGTATGCCTAGAGACTTGGGAGGACAAACAAGAAGATTGAGAGCAGACTCAGAGGCTTTGAAGGACGGTGCCATCGTATCCTCAGAGTCCTCTGGGAACAGCATGTTACCAACAAGGAGATAAGCCAACACACTTGCATCAGCAATGTTGTGGACGAGATCAAGCAGAGACGCTGGAGATGGCTTGGGCATGTCCTTTGGATGAGTGAAACAAGACTCCCTTATATGGCACTCAGATGGCCTCCACCTGGAATGGTTGGAGACCTCCTGGACTACGACAGGGGGGATTGGGTGGACCCCCGGGTGCTCGCTCAGCGCATGGGGCTCTCCACCCCCCGAACCCGCCTGCGCCTACTCCAGGAGGTGAAGGCGGCCTTGCTGCAGCCCGCTTTCGATTTCCAACAGAGAGCCCTGCGAGAGGGTATGCCCCGCCCCTCTCCTCCCCTCCTGCAAAGCCTCCGTCCCTTATTATTGGGCCCCGGTTCCGTGGGCCCCCCGGCCTCCTCATCCTTGGACCCCCAGCCGGCTGCAAAAATTGCAGCAGGTTTGTTTTCGGACCGCGCCCAGAGAACAGCTGTACACGCTCGTGCTCCACACCCTGCATTTCCCCCCCCTCGTGTCCCGCCCCGACTCTAAATGGCGGGACCACTTAAGACCTATACAGGGTGGGAGACCTCGATGGGCCAGCATCTATTCCGATCTAATTCCGCGGCCCATCGGGGACATCAGTTGGCGGCTCCTTCACAGAGCTGTGAGCATGGGCGTGTACTTGGCGCGATTTACCCCCATCCCAGACACCTGCCCCTTCTGCGGCGTGAGGGAGAACCTGGCGCACGCCTATCTTGAATGTGCCAGGTTGCAGCCCCTATTCTGGCTCCTCCAGAACCTCTTATTGAGGTTCTGGCTGCACTTTTCCCCTCACCTCTTCATTTATGCACACCCTATCCGTGGCCCCACAAAGTCGCGAGACCTCCTCGTCAACCTCCTCCTGGCCCTAGCGAAAGCTGCTATTTACAACACCAGGAGTAGGATGTTGGACGAGGGGGTTCTCTGCGACTGTGGGGCCTATTTCCGTTCCTCTCTGGTTTCACGAATCCGGGCAGAGTTCCTCTGGGCGGCGTC